TGTTTTGTTGTAATACCATGTGGCATCTGTGCTAAATGATGTTAAAATTATCAGAAAGTCCTTACCACATCACTGGACACAAAAACTGTTCCTGTGATAGAGACCTCAGGAACTGTGGTGATGTTAGCTTGGGTCATGCCAGCACCACCCTAAGCTCCTGAAAGCACATTACAGTGAGGGTGAGTCCTGGCCCCAACTGAAACACTGAGATTTTTCCAGGCCAAAGCATTTTCAGGGACTAAATGGTCAGCGGTGGCTGAATCCAGGACTGTTCTGAGACCAAGGGACGGAGCTGTCTCCAGTGCTATGATGTCATGGGGACATTTTGGTCCTGCCTTGCTCTATATAAAGTTTTTTAAATTTCATTTATTCTAATTAGTTACATATGACAGCAGAATGCAATTCAATTTTTATAACACAAATAGAGCACAATTTTTCATGTCTTTGGTTGAACACAATGTAGAGTCATACTATTCATGTTTTCATACATGTAATGATGGCTGTCTCATTCCACTGTCCTTTTACTCCCATACCCCCGTCCCTTCCACCCCCTTTTCCCTATCTAAAGTTCATCTATTCCTCCCATGTTCCCCTCCTCAATCCCCATTATGAATCAGCATCTTGATATCAGAGAAGACATTTGGCATTTGGTTTTTTGAGACTGGCTTACTTCATTTAGCATTATATTCTCCAACTCCACTCATTTGCCTGCAAATGTCATGATTTTATTCTCTTTTAATGCTGAGTAATATTCCATTGTGTGTGTGTGTGTATATATATATATATATATATATATATATATATATATATATATATACCACATTTTCTTTATCCATTCATTTACTGAAGGATATACTTACAAGAGTACCTTTAGTTACAGATGGATCTTTGGACCAACATCTTAGAAATTAGGGTTGGAAAAAGCCTCTCTGTCTGCAAAAATGACACTGTTGTTCTAGCAAAACCTGTGTGGTTAACAATTAGATGACTTTTATTAAGTACACATGTGCCAATAACTGAACTAAGTTGTTTCCTTAAAAATGTATCACAATTTCTTTTGCCCCCCTCCATCCTATTAATATAGTACTTTTTAAGTTTTAATTGCTTCGTAATATTTGTGTGTATTTATAGGGTACAGTGTGATGCCAAATTAATTAGATAGAAGGATTTAGTTCTATTGTTCCATAAAACTATAGTCTGCAGCAATTTATTATGTTTCACAATAACTGGAAGAGAAGAATAGAAGGTTCCCAACACATAGAAATGATGAGTGTTAAAGGAAATGGAAATGCTAATTACTCTGATTTGATCATTACACATTATGTACATGTGTCAAATCATACTGTACCCTATAAATACATACAAATACTATGAATCAATTAAATTTTAAAAAGTACTATATTATATGGTAAATACACATACCTGTAATGTAGTCACTTACATTAATGTAGTTACTTACATACCATTGCCAAGTATCATGTTCTGTACAGAACTGTACATCCTGCACTTTTATACAGTACTTTTTTTTACACCATCGTTACCACAGACACTGAACAACACGTGCACAACAATGGATAAAAAAGATCATGCACTACGTATTTTATTTCATTTAATGCTTACAACAAACCTAGAGACTATGTAATGTGATGTAATGGTTTTAAAATTCAGGAAACTGAAGCATGGGTTGAATCAGAAGCCAGGAACTGACCAAGTGAGCCCTCACATGGTCAAGCAGAGTGGCACTGGGGAAAGATTAGCTTTGCTGCTCATGCCTGCTTCTGCACTCTGTTGGCGTCTCACAGGAGAACTAGCACTTTTGAGCTGAAATATTCTCAGCCATCATAGAGGAAAACAGGAAGTGCACTCTTGCACACTCTGTGTATATGGAAGGCAAGTGAGATAACTAACAAGAAAGGAATTTTTTAATATCTCTGAAGCAGGATCAATTTGGAGAGTATCATACGTGTCTGATAAGCATTTAGAGAAATGCCCAGTCTGGAAGGTTATTGTATGGATGCTGAAGTGCAAGCTGGATCATGAAATTAAGCTGAGTCTCAGAAATATCCAGGTGTATGATTTAGGACTTGACAGACTCTTTTCAGCAGGCCGCTGGGACCTTACCTAGAAAAATGCTGAATATGCCCAAGTCAGTTTGTGGGGTTGCACGCAACAGATAAAACTGTCACTCTAGTTGAGTCCAACTATAAAATTATCTACGTGGTTTTAAGAATAGGAGGATTCTATTGGGGTGGCATGTAAAGAATAGTGAGTAATTAAAGGAATCCTCACAGCAGCAGCGGGAAAGCTCCTGGCACCCATAACAGCCACTTCCAGTGTGAGTGGTTCTTTGGTTTCAGTGTTTTAATCACTTCCAAGTAGATGAGGCCTGTGTTGCTCTTAGCAGTGTAAATACAACACATCTATCAACATCTGGATTACTTATAGTTTTATTATTTATAGATTTCTTGAGAGCTTTATAGTGAGGGTAAAAGTGCGACAGAAGCCCCAGTTTCCCTCTTTATAAGGACGATGTGTATTGAGGACACAGCTTGCAGAGAGCTTGAGAGCCACATTTTGATTTGCCCAATGAGCCACCTCCTTGTGCACTAACATGTTGACAGTGGCATTGAAGAAATTGTATTCTGCAAATTAAAATGTACAATATTAACATGAAAAACATGTTATTGAGAAGAATAGCAAAGTTGAGTAGAGGTAACAGAAGGGTGCCTTCTAATTAGAAGAAGGGGGCAATTAGAAGAAGGGGGCGGGGAGAGCAACTAGGAAAACTTCAGACTTCCTGCGGAGTAAGGCTTCCAGAAAGCCACGTGAAGACACTGGGCATGTGGGCGAGGGAAGACGGTGGAAGGACAAACAGAAGCCTTCTGTTTGGCTTGGTGCTGACCCTGGACAAAAGTGAGTTTCAAGAAACAATGTGCAAAGCAAGATTAGTATACAGACAAAAATTGTGCACAGAGAAAATCCTGCAAATACAGAACTGGAAGGGGAGAGAGTAGACGGGTAGTAAAAAGAAGGGAAGGCAGCATTGAAAATCCCCTATGTCTGGGCATTCAAAAGCACCTGTGCTACCACAATTTATTCCCTCTGTGGTTGTATGTCAGATGAAGTGCTTACCTGAATTTTCATAGATGAGAAAAATAATCCATCTAGTAAATATTAGAACCACTCTCAGTGCATTAAGATGCATCCGTGAACAAAGATGGACTGACAGGAGAAACAATTAACATAAAGAAAAGATAAAAACCTGGCATGTACCTCTTGCCCCAGGCTCAGTCCAGGTGATATGTCTTCTGACAGGAATGAAGAGTCTGCTGTCCTGTTTAAATTGATAGTCATCTCACAATTCTGAGGCACATCGTTGATGCCTCAAAAATGCAATTACGTTGCAATGCTGCAATGTAGTATACTTTAACTTCTACTGTTTCCTAATTCCAATCTATTAAATCTTCTTAAAGGAAGTTTTATATGGTTCCATGATTATGTAATGTCTACAAAAAATGAAATTCAGATTCAACTTACTTGTACTGAGTGCTCAGCAGGAAGCAATGTGACGTACACTAACATATAGCAGTTATGTCCTCCTTATCTCATACTTTGAAGTAGGCTTTTAAAAAATATTCTGGGACTGGTCATGTAGCTCAGTGGTAAAATCCATGCTCAGCATGCATGAGTCCTTGGGTCTGATCCCCAGCACTGAAAAAAAAAAAAAAAAAAACCAGAAATAATTATAGGTTTACAGGAAGTTACAAAAGAGTATTTTTTGCCCAGTTTCCTCAGTAGTTTCATCTTAACATAACAATAATATAGTATCAAAGCCAGGAGGTTGACGTTGATACACTGTGATATGATGTGTGTATATAATTCTGTGCAACTTTACCAAATGGGTAGGTAGATTCATGTGCCCACCACCACATTCAAAACACAGGACTGGTCCATCACCACAATGATCTCTTTTTTGCCACCTCTTTCTAGTCATGTTCCCAGATCAGTAAGTACCAACAATCTCTAATGATCTGTTCTACATCTTTAAAATTACATAATTTCAAGAAGATAATGTAAGTGAAATCAGAATAATGCAAAGTTTTGAGACTTGAATTTTGTACTTGGCATAATGCCTAGTGGCCCTTGGAAAACGAAGTTAGAAGCTATTGCATGTAGCTGCGATTTGTCCTTTTATTAATTGAATAATATCCAGGATTTTGAATATATCATCAAAAACAATTTTTACAGTTTCTAGATTTGGCTATTACAAATAGAGTTGCTATGAACATTTGTGTGCAAGTTTTTGTGATGTGGTTTATAACGATCATTTAAGAGAGATTTAGAGATAAGTGTTCCACAGTAACACTGCTCTCAATCACTTAAACTAGTATCCAAACTCAGATGTTTTTAACTTATCTCTTGTGCTGTTTCCACCATCCCTCATTAAATGAGAATAAATTGTTCTGCAGATAGTGTAGAAAAGAAATGATTATATATGCAATTATTTCTTGATAAAATATTTGGTTGAGAATAATATATGCTCAGTGCCTTGATTGTTTTTATCAACTTGTTCATTGAACATTCACCTGTTCATTCTCACAAACTATTGTTCAATTAACTATCAGGTACCTGTTCTGAGTGTTGAAGAACAATGACCAACCTACTAGAGATTTTACCAAAACCATGTTTGTGGCATAGAGATAGTTTGCTCTATGTTAGTTGGCTTTAATAGTTTTGAGCTTTAGTTGGGAAATGTTTGTTCTGAGTTCGTGTGAGCACTCTAATAATATTCAAATGTGTATTCTTAAATTTAAATTGGGTTGCTTTACTTTGCCTTATCTTAGGAAAACAATTGCTGAACATGCATGCACAAATACAAGATCTAATTTTGCAAGATATGCAATTCAGTGCTTCTTCTAAGTAGGGGTGAGGTTCATATGGGGTTTTATTTATTTACCAATAAATAATTTCTTCTGCTTATTCTCTGTCCCTCCCAATAGCATGAAAAATTAATCAACCGTCCACAGAGTACCAAGAGAATTTCTAAAGATCCTCTAGGTAAGGAACATTTGCTCCGTACTCATAGTACTTTTTCTCCTCTCATATTTTATGTATGCATGAATCCTTCTACAAAATAGACTGGAGAAAGTGACTTTTCATTTAATCATTAAATTTTATCATGTTTAATAAATGAAATTTTCTTGCAAAGTCATGTACATATAAACCAAAATATCATTCTCAAATATGTATGTCATGAAATTTGTACTGAAATCTATAAGAAATATAAAACTTTTTTTATAATTATACAAAATAATGTGCATGTATTTTATTTTTTATACCTTTATTTATTTATTTTTATGTGGTGCTGAAGATCGAACCCAGGGCCTCACATGTGCAAGGCAAGCACTTTACCGCTTAGCCATAATCCCAGCCCCATAAATCATTTTTATTTAGAAATATAAATTAGATAAATAACAAATAATTTCTTAATTTGGTAAATAGACAGCAACAATTCATTCTGAAATTTTGACTATAAATTGTAAATGTTTAAGTGTGGTCAATTCAAACCTACATTTGTGGTAAATAGATTTAAAGAGAAGTATATATTAGTATGAATCCTCAAAGAACATATTTTATATTTGGCTGTGGTTATGCATAATATTCAGGGTTATGTGCAGGAAAGCAGGTTGGTGTATTATGCTGATGCATATTTGACACCTTTATTCTATTTTAGCCTTTAAAGCAATTCTTTCTGTGATGTTAATAGCTATTAATGCGATCACTTGTCTTCAAAAGACATCAGTGGATGGGTTTTCACTACTTTATCAGGCTCACCATGGATAGCACAGAATTCCAATCAGAGGTTACACTTAGGGGTACCAGAAAATGCATAGACTTCACTGAACTACATTAGAATAGAACAGGAATTAACTTTAGTATTACAATAACAATACAGCTGCTTTAAAAGAGAAGGAAAATGATATAGAAAAAAACAATAATAACAACATCAATAGATGAAAGCTTGGCAAGTTCATCATTGTTCACTTTTAAAGAAATTGATATTCAAATAAAAGCATAATTACTGCTCCTGTCAATAATCACTGGGTGGCATAAGAATACAATGATTCTTCTTATGTGTGCTATGAAGTCCTGAGTTGCTATCATGTCATCAAAGCTTCTATAGGAAGGTTGGTGGTAGATAAGGCTACATATTTTCAGTACGCTAAAACTATTAAACGTTTAAATGCCAAGTTTAGAAGTTTAGACAATAGGATAATAAATCTTTCAAAGATTTATTAATAGGGGACTAACAAGATCAGATTGGATGCAGAACGGTTGTGCAGAAGTTGTGTGCAGAGGACAAAGTGAGTCAAAACTGATAGCAAGGATATAAATTAGAATGTTGTACTCCATCCAGCAAAGACAGATAGGGTATTGTGGTCATCAGTTCTCATCTCTGTGACAACATGCCTGAGTTAATCAACTTAAAAAGAGGAAAGGCTCATTTTGACTCACAATTATAGAGGTTGTAGTCCATGATGACTTGGCCCATTGCTTTTGGTTTGTGGTGATATAGTACATCATGGCACATGGTGGAAGATGCCTCTTCACTTCATGGTAGCCAGGAAGCAAGTAAGAAGGTACCAGGATCCCAATTTCCAATTCACTGGTAACGATTTTGAGAAAAATGAATATTGCAAAGACTATTCTAGGATTTAGGAAAACAAAGTTAAAGATGAAGAGATAACAGATCTGGGATATTTCACCTAGAAGCTATGGTCAAGTAACTAAGAATTGATGAATTCATTGGTAAAGAGAGCAGAAATAGAAGAGGCCTGAGGTAGGAAGCAGTAATTTAGCAGCACCAGGAAGATGAGTCAGACAAGGGCGAGAGAAGGAACAGTAGATCTTGGGGAGAACATGAAATTCAAGGAAAGAAGTTAAATGTTTTGTGGAAGTCTAAGAAGATGCAGGCCAAGATTCACTTGCTGCAAGTAGTAATTAAGAATTCTCTAGGAAGGTTTGAATAAAGGCCGAAATAGCAGTTTTTATAAAGGTCATAGAATCCCTAAAGCAAGCATGTAAGTGCTCAGTAGATAGTGAGGAACTTGAGGCCTCATGGCACATTAGACATTAAAAGATTTTTATGATTAAAAAAAGAAAAGGGAAGAGATAGCACAGTGGCTTGATATTATAGCATAAGGGAACTAGAAGACCTGAACATGTTTATAAGAACCACGGAAGGACCCACAGTGAGGAGGAGATTGAGGGACAGATGTAAAGGGAAAATATTGGATGAAAAATGCAGGGTGGGATGGAATCCAGCAAACACAGGGGGGAGATTTTGTAAGAAAGTACTTTGGGCATGAAAACAAGGTTATAAGAACTCAAGCATAATGGCTTTGTGTAAAGTGGGAAAAACAGATTTGGGCTGGGTGAAACAGGAGAGTGAGACAGGTTTTTGCTATGGAAATTTTTAATTTGTGATTAGAAAAATTTTAAATGGATTTGTGAATGCTAAGGGCTCAATAGAATAAAATAGCATAGTGTTTAGTAGGCACAATAACATATTTTCATAATTGGGTAGCTGGAGTAGTTCAGCTCCTACTGATCAACCTTCAAAACAGAGGCCATTTGGGGACACTCAATATCCCCCAACCTGCATGATTAGAGTTGACAAATCGACAATAATGACAATAAGGCTAAGGTGGATAACAGGTTTTAAGTTGGATGCATGACCATATTTGATGTATATAACTGATCTTTAGGAGCAGCACTGGCAGAGGTATGTAAGACCCTACAGGGGCGATTGAATGACAGGAGGGATTGCTCTACTAGTGATGAGGACAGAGAACATTATGCAGAAGCAGAGGAATAGAAGCTGTGGGAGTTTAGCGGGTAGTAGTCAGCAGTAATATTGAGAAGCTGAGGCCATGAAGGAGGCATAATTCTGGCTGATGATGAAATGTGAAGAATAGCTCTGAAAGTCAGTTTCTAATTTGAAGTCACAGGACAGGTCACTGGAGTTAATAAGATTAAGGAACCATGCAGTCAGTAGCATGAATGATTATCAGTGTCATGGCTGATGGCTGGCCATAGATAATGTGGGTGGGGGAGGAAGGCCCACCTAGGTAGCATAGACATCTAAGTGAATGCATTGCATGATGGTAGAAGAACAATTATTTGAAAACAAACAAGGATATTTAGCTCCTTCCTTTAAGTAATATTCACAGATAAGCAGCTTTATAGTGTAAAATCAGAGCACAATTTATATGAGGAGGTAGGTGGAAGGGGTAATTAAGTAATAGGGGGAAGACATGGAATTCTTTGCTCATACAAGGCCAGGGAATGAGCCTGAGAGTAGAAGAAAGTATGCAGGCTAGGTCTGATATATGGAAGGGAAAAGATAGTTTATGGCTTGTATATGGAAGAGGAAACATAGAGGGATACAGGGGATTTACTTAGAGTGATGGCTTTGAATTATGCAATGAAAACCATAGAAATACCAGATGGAATCATGGATTAGGAAGCAGGCAGGAGTCTCAGGTTAAGGGGAAAACTATACAGAGAATATAGGATATATTCAGAGGAGATGTGTTCAAGTCAAAATAGTCCAGAGGTCCAGAGGAAATGTTGATGTAATGAACTTTGCCCAGAATGCTCTTCGGGTAGTGAAATTGGTGAGCTGTGTATAAACACACACACACACACACACACACACACACACACACACACACACACGCACACACACACTCACACATACATGTGTGTGTGTGTGTATTTGCATGAATATGTGAGGACCAGCTAGCTTCTAGCATAATTTATTCATCACTTTAATACTAATAAAGATGAATATCTTTTTGAACCTATGAAACATCCTTTGACGCAGTGCTACAAGGCTAGGAATGGCAAAGGACCTCCGGTGTCAGCATTCTTAGAAGCCCTGTTGAAGATGCCATGTTTTGCCCCGTGCTAGTCCTATTCAATTAACTGTGGGCCGGAAACCAAAGAAACATTTTAACAAGTCCTTCTGGTTCTCAGGTACATTAAAATTTGAGGAGCATTTCTAGCCCTTTACCATAGCTAGCAGGCTCAGATGATGACCTCAGCAATGGCAGGAATTCAAAAGCTCTCAACTGTCCACCTGGGTGGTCCCACACTTCTCTGCTGCTCAGAAGCCAAACCAGAGGGCTAGTATATTCCTGTGAGCAGGTGTGAAGGGCTGGATTAGCACATCCCTCAAGCAAGCTTCCTAACACTTGGGTGTTCTGTGTGTGCCTCCAGAAGCCCTTTGGGATAACTTGTTCCACTGGCTGGCAGAGGAACTCTCAGAAGAAAATGCTGAGGTCCTTACCTCGTCCCTCCCTCTGCGCCGCAGCACCATTCAGCTCATCAAACTCAAGCACCCTGATGACCTCACGGAGCAGATCCATGAACTTCTTTGCTTCTGGAAGAAATCTCTCCCAACTTCCACTGACAAAGTTCGCCTCCTGGCTCGTCACCTTCGCAAGATGGGCAGGAGTGATCTTGCAGGAGAGTTCAAGTTCAAGTGGGAAAATAAAGTGTTCACTGAACCCCAACAGTGGTTTGATATGGAACCTGAGTAAGAGCTGGTGACTCATCCTTTTGCCCTAGAAAAAGCCTCATGGTTTAAAGACTGTTTCTGTCAAGGTTTACTGAGAATTTTTCAAGTGACGTTGTTTGAAGGGGGTTTGTTTGATAGACATGTAACTGAGAAATCAATTGAAACAATGGAGAAATGTTAATGACAATAAGACATTCCTGGTTCTGCGGGCTTCTTCACTGTGAGTGACATGTTTTCTGCAACTCTGAAAGTCTTGGGTTTGGTCAAACTTCATCGCATTTGCAATAGAGTTGGTCCTATTTACATTTTAATAGCCAAGGCTGCTTGCTATGTACGCACGAAAGATATGACTACAAAATCACTTTTTAAAAATTGTTATCTATGTAAAATTAAATGTGTTTCCCATGACTCCAAGCAACCAAACCAAGTTACAGAGATACCTTGGGACCCACAGGTAACAATACAAAATAAATGGGGCTGATGTTAGTAATAGCAAGTTACTTTTAGAAAAAAGAAAAACTTGTAATAAATTAAAAATAGAAAAATTCTTTAGCTTCTGACTGCCACAGCTTCTCTTAAAAAAAAATGTAGCTTAGAATCGGGAAATATTCTTATTTTATTATTAGTGAAATGAAGCAGTGCAGAAAAAATGAATTGTAAATAAAAGAATCCAGGGCCTCTTTTACCTACTTAAAAAACAAAGTCTCATAGGCAGATACACACCTGCACACATCTTCACACACATAGACACATTTATTTCCCAGAATTAATAATTTACACATATTATTGTAACAGAAAGACAAAACAAAGTATCAAAAGAAAAAAAAAGTGATCTTCTCTTCAGTGTCTCGTATGTTTAGGTAATCCTGGATTCAGTCTGATGTGGTGACATGTGCTGTTTTCCTGTGTTGGGAAACTACCCCTGAACGCCCTCACAGCCATACCCCGCCCCTCCCCATCCTGTGCACCTGATCTGTCCCGTGGGCTGATGTGTATGGATCACATCAGTGATGATGCTCCAGGCTTCTCATTGGGTTTGGCTAATGGAGAGCTGTAGCAGGAGAATGATGGCCAGACTGTGTCCCTCATCCCACAGTCCCTACTTCTCTGGAAGAGGCCCCTACAGGCCACTCTCTCCTGGGTCCTGGTAACTGGTTTTCTTCTTACCTCTTTAGTTGTAGGTGTAGCCCAGCTGTCGTCTTGCTCAGGATAACTGGGTGCTCCCTGTGGTTCCGTTGTGTCCTCTCTTTCCCTTTTAAAATAAACTTTCCTTTGATTTTCTAGTGTCAGTGTATTGTATGTTTCTCATTAAGAGCCTGACGGATAACACCTCTGAACTCCTTATACGGAGATAAGCAACTTATACATGCATATTATCTGAGAGTGGTATTCATTTATTATATATACAATTTTATACATTACTGTTTTATTCAATTATAAGCATTTTAATGTCTTTAGGTGCTTTAATAGCTGAATAATAGTCCATTTCATAGTCCTATGATTAATTTTTAGTATTACACATTTTTGAAAATGCTTAAAATGCAATAGATTCTCTGTTATTCCTGACATTTTTATCAACTTTATGTTGTTAAAATTCATTCATGCTCCATGTGTGGCCATGATTTCCTCATTCTCATTATTGTATAATATTCCAGCATGTGCAAGTACTAAATATCACAAATTTATTACACTGCAGATAGACATTTGAATAGATTTGAATGGGGACTACCATAAATAGTGATGTTAGTAATATTCTTTACATACTTTTTAATAAACTAAATATTCATTTCTTTCAAGTATATTCCAAGAATGGAATGATAGCTTACCATAATAAATTTAATCTTGTTGTCCATTCAGAACCAATTAGCAATTAATCTAGGACATTATTATTGAAATTCCTGTTTTATACCAGAAGGGTAAGAATGATCTACCACTTACAGCCAATCTTTGCATCTTGAATCACCAATTTCACTGACAAAACCCCATCATTATGCCAATTATTAAGCACCCAATTTTATAAATGATATAGTTCTAACATTTATTATCTAAATTAACAAAACCTAGTGTTCATGACAGTCATTGTTATTAAATACTATATTTGGAGTATTAATTCTTGGTTAGAGCAAATGACTATTTTTAAAATATAGCTTAAATGAAAACACATATAATGTCAGATTATATTTTCTGATGTATTTTAAAGATATAGAGACAGCTTAAAAATGAGATAGGTATGCTTTGAGAATATAATAATCCAATTTTTAAAATAGCTAAATTTCATGGGAAAAATTCTATTTTTGTAACCCAGTATTTTTTTTAGTGGGATTATTGGCATTTTTGAATGCAACTTTTTTTTTTTTTTAAACTTGAACTGGTTCATGAATTGCTGGCCAATCAGCATCCCTAACATGTGCCAACCAAATGCTCAAAGTACTCCCTACTCCCTCACCTTAGCAAGTACAACAAGCAAAATTCCTCATATACTGTTCTGCTCACTGTTCTGATCACTGTTCCGCTCACCGGGAGGGTGAGGGTGGTGGTGGGGACAAAGGGAGACTTTGAAGAACAACTATTTTAATCAACTTTTGGCTTGAAGTGGGGCATGAAGACGGATGGGAAAAGGAAGCTAAGGAAATCTAGAACATTAGAGGGGTCTAACTTAAACTCTGCAACTGCTACCTGTGTTTAGGAGGAATGTTAACTGCTGATTGGTGACTTGCTCAGAAGGATTCTCAGTGAGGAGTCTGGAGCTAAGCTATAGAATGAGCAGCTTAATTTACAAAGGCAGGCTTCCATAGAAGGGCACAAGTGCAGGGGAAGAGGAAAATACTGAGTGAGGTCAGAATCATGGCTGAGCTTGCTGGGGGATTCCCTTATTGCTTTGTGATCTAATCTCATCAGAGGGCATCTTTTCTGTACAAACATTTTGGCAGATGTGACATCATTTAATCTTTAATTCACCCCATCTTCCAGTCTGCTCACTGGCAATCACCCACTTATTATCTAATATATTAAAGATTTACTTACTTATTATGGTTATTATTTATGTTCTGCAAACAAGTACCCACTTCACTTCACATATGCAGGATCAGGGTGCTTGTCTTTTTTGCTCCTTGATGTATTTCCTGTAACTCTGTCAGGCACTCAATAAATGTTTTGTTATTTTTATCTTTTAAGTAAGAAACTGCAACTTGGAGTTACAGTGATAGTCAGTGGTACAACCAAGGTTATAACTCAGATTATTTTATTCTCAAAGGTTTTTGATTTTTTTAAAAATTATTGTTATTTTTATTTTTTCCTTTTAGTTATACATGACAATAGAATGTATTTTGATATCAGATGTACATGAAGTATAACTTCCCGTTCTCATGGTTGTACATGAAGTGGAGTTACTGGTCGTGTATTCACATATGAAGACAGGAAAGTTATATGTGAATCATTCTACTGTCTTTCCCATTCCCACCCACCACTCTTTCCTCCATTTCCCCCTGTCTAATCTGGTGAACTTCCAATCCCCTCCCCACCCTACACCTTGACCTATTGTGAGTCAGCATCCACATAACAGAGAGAACATTCAGCCTTTGTTTTGGGGGGATTGGCTTGTTTCACTTAGCATTATAACCTCCAGTTCTATCCATTTACTGGCAAATGCCACAATTCCATTCTCCTTTATGGCTGAGTAATATTCCATTATATGTTACCACATTTTCTTTTTCTTTTTCTTTTAACACTTATTTTTTAGTAGTAGGTGGACACAATACCTTTGTTTTAGTTTATTTTTATGTGGTGTTAAGGATAGAACCCAGTGCCTCACATATGCTAGGCAAGTGCTCGATCTCTGAGCCATGACCTCAGCCCAATACCACATTTTCTTTATCCATTCATCTGTTGAAGGGCATCTAGGTTGGTTCCATAGCTAAGCTCTTGTGAATTGAGCTGCTATGAATATTGATGTGGCAATGTCACTATGGTATGCTACTTTTAAGTCCTTTGGGGAATATTCCAAGGAGTGGAATTATTCATAGAATAATTTGAGGAGTATTGGTATGTTCTTCTTTGAAGGTCTTGTAGAACTTGGCTGAGGCTCCATGTGGTCCTAGACTTTTCTTTGTTGATAGGCTTTTGATGGCATCTTGAATTTCATTGATTGTAACTGATCTGTTTAAATTTTCCGTTTTCCTGTTTCAGTTTGGGTAGGTTATATGTCTCTAGATATTTGTTGATGTCATCATGATTCTCTATGCAGCATGCCTTTCAGTTTAGTCAGGCAGTGTCCTTTATCCCCAAATGCTCCATACCTAGATACACCTCAGGCCTCCAAAAAGTATGGGTTCCTTCAATTCCCTATCCCTCCACTTTGCTCGCAGAGGGATGGCTCTGACTGGTACTTCTAGCCTGGCCTTGGCTGCAGCTCTGACACTGGGGATTTCTTCCTTATTTTATTATATCCAACCTCCTGAATCCCTGATCTGCTTTGAATGTCCAGTTTTAAATTCCAGTAAAGTCCTCCCCTTTTTTTGTTATTAATCCACCTTGCTGAGAAGCTGCCTGTTTGCTTTCTTGATTTCATGCCACAGAGTAGCTAGGAAAGATACCTCCTCTGATCTGCCAACTTGAAAACCCTGAAACTCTTTTTCTTCTGTTGCCATCCTTCTATCCCTTGCCTACCCCCAGTCCAAACCTCCTCACAAGTCTTTTATTTCTTTCTCTGTTCAAATATTTGAATAAAAAAGATTTATTTATTTATTTATTTATTTATTTATTTATTTATTTATTTATTTATTTATTTTTAGTTGTAGTTGGACACAATATCTTTATTTTATTTATTTATTTTTATATGGTGATGAGGATCGTACCCAGGGCCTGGCACATGCTAGGTGAGCGCTCTCCCACTGAGTCACACCCCCAGCCCTCTGGGAGTTTTTTCAGGTTGCGGAGTTCTTAGGATTGGATTTATTGCCCATGACATCTTATTTTTTAGTCCAGTTATAACATTTCTCTAAACTGTTCTGTCAACTTACCTATTTTTCTCCAACCAGTTTGTTCATTCCTTGAGGACAGTGCCTTGAGTTTTATCCATCAGTAAATTTCCAACACCTTGCACAAGGCCCAGCACACAGTAGATAATAATTCTTGGTTGAATTAATGCACAAGTAACATCTACACACTCTTTCACTTTTCCTGTGTCATTGTTCTTCTGGAAGCAGGCCTGTGGGGGCAGATGTCATGCATGAAAGGGCAAAAAGTTAGCTCAGATTGTAAAAATCTGCCATGCCATTCATCAAGCCAGAATAACAGACTTAGATAACACCAGCTGCAAAGTTAATATAAGTCAATATTTCCTCCAAGAACACACTGCAGCTGTAAAGTGTGCCCTTCTTTGAGTAACTGCTTTTGTTCATACTGAAAAACTTTATCATCAAAATGACTTTCACAAATGTTGCTGTTTGGAAGAAATATCCCTTTCTTGCCTTCAGAGTATCGCAGTCACTTTGACACAGAAAAGAATTCTTGATTTAAAAACCAGGTGCAGAGCTTCAGATAAAGAATTTCTGGATACAACATTGCACATCTATCTCAACATTAATGTTTCCAAAGAAATGGACTGTGGATCCCTTCCCACTGCCGACCTAACATTGACCCCTTTATACCAGCTCTGCTTTGCTTTGAGCCTGTGGAGACACTAAACTCCACCCTAGTTAGTACTATATTCTAAAATAAGCCTTTGCCTTTGTTTAATGACACAACCACCATTCTCCTAGTGTACAGTCGGGCTTATTGCAATGAGTCAAAAACTCAATTTTTTTTTTTTTTAAATTTTGGGTGTGTCCCTTTTGGTCCTTCCTTGAATGAGACACTGATGTTATCCTTTGATGGGTGGTTTGCCCAGTGTTTCTCAAATTCATGGCATATTAGAATCAGCAGGAGATGCCTGGACATAATCAGAGAAAATCAAATTGAATCAGTCTAGGTTGAGGCCCAGGAATCAGAATTACAACGCTGCCTAAATACAGCCAGAATTAGGAATGATTTTCTTTGGTCACATGAACAAAGAGCAATGTGGAATAGGTGCTAAAATTCAGTTTTTCAGGATCCAAACTCTGCCCTCCACATCAGAAGCTTTGGCTGTAGTCCTGAGGAGTCTGCATGGTCAGTGACTATCTTAGGTCATGTGTACACTCAGGAAAGCTAAAAAAGGACATTCTTGACTTTATTTTACTTTCTGTCCAGAGCACACTGTCATATCTCTCTCTCTCTCTCTCTCTCTCTCTCTCTCTCTCTCTCTCTCTCT